TCACTCTTAAATGGCTAACAAAGATGAAAATTCCAGCTCGGAACTCCTTAACTTTAACCTTATAATCTCTTGTGTCACTCCTTGCCTGTAATACGAGGTTGTTTCTGTCAAGGCTCATCGCACGAGGCGCTGCAGTGTTGTCTTTAATGCAATTTTACCCGAGGAGAATAGCTGCACAGATTTCAGGTACTATCACTGAAACAGCATTAATATAATCGGCACTTAGATGAACCCGGTACACAGCTTGCACTCATTAATAGAGTTGTCCTCATTATTAAATCTTATGCAAACTCAATAAAGCATTCAGTCCAAGGAAACTGATCAGTATTGCACGTTTAAATACTTTTTACGTTTAACGGAAAAGATAAGAGGCGATCAAACGCACTCTTCCATTCTCGGATTTTTTCTTTTCCTTATTCTTTGAGGGATTTGTTCGGCACACTTCGGCAAGTGTCGTCGTGGGTTACAAGACAGCGATGAAGGCGAGCCCGAAAGCAATTTGTGACGTTCTGACTTTCAAGTGTAAATCTCTGTCACAAACATGCCAGCTGCTCTTAAATTTGCGCGCCACTGAAGATGACTTCCGCCCACAAATTTTGGAAGCGTCTTTAATAACAACAAGGATATTTTTTTTCCCCGTAGTACACTCTAGCCTTCTTTCACAGGGGTTCAACACCAGTTAAATTTCTAATTGTTTGTTTGTTTGTTTTTCTCTATTACTCGGACGTAGCAGAATCATTCTTGTTCCGTGAACTTACTTAATCAAAGTAGTGCGCATGTTCAGTTATCTCTTCGTCGTCTACTAGACAGCACTATAATAATTAAAGCAGTGCGCATGTTCATTTTGGTTTTCCTTCGTCTACTTGGCTGCGTCTTAATAATTGAAGTAGTACGCATGTTCAGTTTGTCTCTTTGTTGTCTACTAGGCAGCACTATAATAATGAAAGTAGTGCGCATGTTCAGTTTGTTTCTCCTTCGTCTACTTGGCTGCACCTTAATAATAGTTGAAGCACAATACTGCGCATGTTCAGTTTGTCTCTCCTTCGTCTACCTGAATGCACCTTAACTGCACCTTAATAATTAAAGTATTGCGCATGCTCAGTTTGTCTCTGTTGTCTACTTGACTGCACCTAAACAGCTGAGCTGTTTAACTTGTAAATGCCATACTATTAAACTCTTGTCCTTCTGCTGCACTTAGTTCTTAATTATCGACGCTCTAATAAAGCTGCCTCTCACTTTCTTTGTAGGTGAGAGGAAATCGTTTGCAGGACACATGGTTGTAGGCTTACATGTGGTACCCTTTGGAATGCCTCATCTCTGTTGTACTGTTTTCCTCTTCCGCCGTAGCGCTGTGGATAGTTCTACTCTCATCTGAGACGCTCTTAAATCTTCTACTTCTAGAAGCACTGCACTAAGACCATTTTACTAAGAATAAAATGAAAAATATATCAGAAAATCCACAGTAAAAGAAAACATAGCACCGCGCGAAACCACTGCCAAGGAGGCAACGTTTGAGTGCTTCCCAGACTCAAATGTCATTTTAAAGAGAAAAAAAGGGCACACTGAGCGATATTTCGCCCCTTCCCTCCGTTCAGGTTAAACTTTAGTGGCGTAGCCTGCAGAACGTCAGGCGCTATTTTTACGCGTTTTTTCAGGCGAGCGCGAAGCGAACGTGGAGCGCGAGGCACGCCAGACTTCAGAAGGCTATTTTTCCACGCCTTTCATCATAGCGCGTGTCTAGCGCTTCGCGCCTTCTTCGCACTTGCCTTTGCCCGCCTGAAAAACGCGAAAACATAACGCCTGCTTTGTAGGCTACTGGTGACGCTATCGCAAAGGTGGATTTTTAGGCTACACCAAGCTATTTTTAAGATCTCCTCTTTTTTGGTGGTAAACAAAAAGCAAGGCACCCATGCAAATTGCTGTCAACGTGACCAGCAACTGGGCTTACGGATTTGCGTTAGGTGTCATTTTTGTTCTCTTTGTAGCAGCTAGTTTAAAGGTTTCCTGCATGAAAGCAAAACACAAAATGTCTTGAGAGATACTCACTTTAATCTATTCCTTTGATAGTGTCGGAATAAGTTCATTGCAAACGAGAATTTTCCTGAAAACAAAAAGAACGCGACGGTTGCCAGTTTATTGATCTTAATGACGAGTAAAGTTTTTAGAAGTTCATCCGAAAAGAAAACTGCTGGCAAAGACATGAGGCCTTTCGAAGGGAGGGAGGCTGTCACTTTGTTGGTCTTTTCTGAGACTGCCTGTTGCCTTGTAGATAAGGAGAAAATGTCGCTGTCGTAATTTAGCCAAGAAGAAAATGTCCCTTTCGGTTCAGCATAAATTTTTATGATACTCAGTTTTGAACTTTACGGCAAATATAGCGTGAGAAAAGAAAATTGTTATTAATCTTCCTCCCTGGATAGACTGTTCTTCAGTAATGCCAACATTAAAAAAACGGTTCAAAGAAAATAACAGAACATGCTTGGAAAAACGGACGAGAGATTGTGATTTAACTGTCAAACAGCCAAAATGTAAAAGACATCAAATTTCGCTTTCGCCACTTAAAAAATGAATTGTCACTGTCAGAATTCTTTCCTCCTTTTCTGTCGGTTTTCGGTGGTTTCTGAGAGATTGTCGCAAGTTTTCGGAGCCATGTCGCCTGTCGCTTCCACCCCTTGGAAGGCCTCAGACATTAGGTACAGGGAATAATGTCAATTAGTAGAATTTTTAAGAGTAACAATAGACTTGTTTTTGTAAAATTTAATAAAAAATCTTGTGAAGCCACCTTCTGCCCTTTTAATAAAGATGAAAATTTTGACCTTTAGCGTGATGTTATTGAGTTGTGTCGCACATAAACCAAACTACTTTATTACACCGTACTTTTTCCCTGCTCCTAATCTTAAATTTATTTTTGGGTTGTTCGATGTCAACGTTAGGGAAAGAAATAGAGTATTTCTGATAGTAGACTAAAAGATCATTGCACGGTATAATTTCATAACTCATTCGAACTCACTCATAGTCAGTGGGGTCGTTAAATCCACCTACTTGTAAGACTCGGTGGACTGCACCGTTTTGGAACTCACCCATCTTGCAGCACCGTAGCAAAGTCTATTTATTTTCTTCATATGAGCGATAAAAGAGTTAGAAAAATATTTATTCATGAGTAGAATCCTATTGAGAGACACTTAACTCAATCAGCACAAAATATTAAGCAAAAATGACATTGAAACGTTTGCAGGGAACCTTGCACAGCGTCATAAACAAAACCACAGTACGAAATGAGGGCAATCCTGAAATTTTAATTGGATGGCTGAAAATAATCGATTTGAATACCCCCAGTCCTCAAAAATAGTTTATTGGGCTTACCATATCCCTATGAGTAGCTAGCTTCTCGCGATCGAGCTCGGTGATCATCCTCGCCCCAGCCCCCCTCTCCCCTCTGAAATAACATATTAATTAACAACAAGGGCTGATGCGAAGGGGCCTGGACCATGTTTGAAACGAGTCATTTTCACGATGACGACCTGTGACTCCAACCAACAGAATTCATGCGTGAAGCTAGCTGTGCGCCACTGCGCATGTGCGTACCTGAAAACGTGTCGAAGATAAAGAAAAACAATGTCGAAAAACAAACAAAGGACTCAAAATTTTTTGTCTACTTTGAAGAATGGAATCTTGAACAAAACCTAATAAAAAAGTAATCCTCCCATCACCCTCTTCCTCTCAAAATCAGGGATTAAGCCTCGCAAGGACCAAAACGCACCATTTTCCCAACCTTGAACTGGGGAGAGGGACGTGCGGTCGAAATGTTACTCGACTATTTTGTCCAAGATTGTACTTTTCTTTGTTACTCGCAAAAACTCTTTGTTACTATTCTTTAAAACAAAAGGGAGACACGGAACAGCTCTTAATAAAGTTATCTTTAAACGGGACAGGGAAAAGTTCAGCTTAAACCGCTATAGAAGACTTTGGTTAGTTTAGCCAGTTTTCGTGCATGGTTTTAATTTGGTCAAATTTGTAACGCTTCTTTTTTTTCACAAGGCCGAGTGGATTCCAGCGAACAAACACAAGAAGAGTACTGTGTCACACTTCAGCGAGACAAGTAACATGAAGACTCGTGTTTCTGTCGTGATGTTGGATTGTGAGCAGGACAGTAGTGTCACGCTAACGAAGATCTCGCGCTAATCTACAAGGAGTGTACCGCACGCCACATTGAAGCTGTAATCCTTAGTACATAAGGTTAAATATAATAAGTCATATATGAAAAGTGAATTGTACATAGAAAGTCCTTAAAAATGTGAGGGACGTGGATAGATACTAATAAGCTAAGTATTAATGAGCGTAGTTCTGTCCCTTGGAACTAGTGACAACCCATTGAAACAAGCAACACGAATACTCTCGATTCTGAGCACGGCAGTACTGTCAAGCTAAAAAACATTTTTCAGTAATCTACATCAACGCAAATTCCCAACTACCGATGAGGAAAGATCACGCCGCCTGCGCGACAAGATAGAAATCTTGTTTTTTTTTTTGTTTTATTGTAGCCTACATCAATGGTATTGATTTTTCAAAGCTGCCTGAGGGATCCCAACTCAGTCCCTTCTGTCCCATTTAGGAGCACTCCCGCAATGAAAGATTCTGGTAAATTTGCTAACTTTCGAAAACAGAGCTCTAAAACGTATCTTCACATCAATTGAATTCACAAAATTAGTCCAGGTTTGTTACATAAGACTATATTTAGGCATATTTATGAAACTGTTTCTTGTCGTCTGTAGCTACGGATGGACTTAGTTGCGGTGTGTCCCTTTTAACGCAAGAGAGGATAAAGGGGACAGAGAAGGCATCCCCCATACACACCCTATTCCATAGGTAATTCGTCTTGCTTATTTTTAAGACCACAGATCCTAAGGGGATTAGACAACAGCCAATCATATAGCGCGAATGTGTTCCTGGTGGATGACCCACGCTCAGGGCCACGCGTCGTTCACGAATTGACGTAGAACAAAATGGCGGAAGACGCGGAGAGCGATATTGCTATTCGTTTTGTCAACGAAAACGACTACAGAGAGATTTCTGCTAAAGCTGTGTCAGCGAAACGGAAATTAAAAAGAATCGCTCTTCCTCGACGTCGTAGCAATGCTTAGAAACAAGCCATTCGAGCGATGCTGAGAGTTCTAGCGAAGAAGATGAAAAAATCAGTGCAAGCGAGGAGGAAGATGTAACCGAAACGGAGAGTGCCAATGAAATACAGGAAAACGTAGAAAGCTCCTATTCCGATGATAGTTCAGCAGATGAGGGGAAGGGGAGGAAAAGTGCAGGGAAGCCTAAACCTGCGCCTTCGCCAGGAGTTCGATCGTCACCAAATCAAGCAAAAAGGCGCCGAAGAAATCAAATAAACGGAACAAGAGTCTTTCGGAAGAAGAGATGGTGCGATTCCCTTTTCCCAGGTTAGCGCCGACTCGTTTCGCTTCAATGTTCAGGAATGCTCTCGATCTCTTTACGCTTTCATTGCCTTTCGCCCGACATGTTTTGCACGGCGTTTAGTCATGCGAAACCTCCACGAAACATCCACGCAGCGCGCGAGGTAACTTTATCCCGATTCTAAAAATAACTCGAGACGAATTACCTGTGGAATAGGTATTGTATAGGGGATGCCTTCTCTGTCCCCTTTATCCTCTCTTGTTTTAACGCTGACAGAGTTTATCATAAATTATACGTCAATAATCTAGGAAAAAATCCACCGGCGGTCGGAATTTCGTGGCGTTGAGGCTTATCAGCGTCCTAGACTTTCGGAAAAGTTTTTCCTCCTTTAAAAGACGCGCTCCGCTCCGTTTACAGCCTTTCTCGTTAGTTGTACCAAGTCTAATCAGCGTCCTCGCGCTTGCCTTTGTAGAAAACTAAGTCAATGAAAACGCCCTGTTAGCTGTGGTGTTTTGAGAAAAGATGTCAAGGTACTTTTAAGTGAAGAATAATTGCATTACTATTTATTGACAGCAACTCTTTTTGCTGTTTGTAAGTTATGAACCAGGGGTCGATAACTGGCTCCTTACATAATACCTCGAGAGATATTTACTGACTTCAAGAGATCATTTGTTCATACCGCCTCGCTTTGGCGCGCTGAATCGTGAAAGCGAGTCTTCCAGAAGTCAACCAGTTTACAGGAAACTGTTTTCGCATGGTCCGCATAGTTCTAAAAATAACTTTTTTGAAATTATCAAGATATCCCGGCCGACGCCCTTAGACTCCCTCTCCGTCCTATTATGATCTCTTGCTGACTTCTAATATAATTACCTGGGGTTAAAGTGATTATAAAACCCGTTATTTATTTTAATGTTTTAGATAATAGAATAATAAACTTTTTATACGTTCATGTTTACAAACTGTGCAGAACTGAGAATGTTGCAAATGACAATGGTTTCGAAGAATTTGCTTCTTGCTAGTTTCATGATCTACAGTATATTAAAGATGTACAGGATCTCTAAGATCTAGCGGATCTTCACTGAGATACATGTAAGGCCACATGGATCATACTCTTTTTTTAACCACTTACACATGTTTTGATTTCTACTGAAACACTCACCATACCCGTATTTGATATAATTACCACATAAAAAGTTTGTAAACGTTTATTACACAAACCTCACGAGACTAGTGCCGGCTTACGGACTGCAGAAAATATCCTAAATTAGAAACACAACAACCTAAGATAAAATTTGCATGAAAGGACCACAAATACATTGTACTGGATTCTTCTTTAACCGGTTGTTCTGGCTCCTTTACGGTCATAACATCAGCGAAATCATTTTTTAATGCTGAGTCAAGAGATCTAGATCTGCAATAAAAGCAAACAAAAAGGAATGCAACTAATTGATATGATATGATATAGCACTGCCCCATGATACAATGTCAGCAATTGCACGATTTAGTAATACAATGCAAAGGGAGTCATTTATAGTAATTCGGAATTCACACTACTAACAATGTTTTCTGTCCAACCCCGGGATGCTGCAAGACAGCGATAGGCTGAGGGGAAATTCCTTTGGAAAATAGACCTTGATTTTTGTCAATTATTGGGATATTATTGTCTTTTCATTGAATCCCATGCATGGCCAAGAGATGTGAGTTTGATCAACAGTAACTTTGAAAGGAATTAAAACAAAACAACAATAGCAGCGCCTTCTCTGTAGAAACAGGAAAATCGTTATCAAGTGATCCACTGGGAAATGGGAGAACTTTTTGGTGTCGATCTTTATACTGATAAGTTTTGCTTTAAACGAAGTGGTTGAATGTGTGAAATTAAAGAGTTCGTTTGGAACAGATTGTTTGAGAGCGTTCAGTGTCAAGGTCATTTTGAGCCTTGGGCTTTCGATGAACTATCAAAGGGGGGTTTCGTTGCATAGTTCGCCATTGCAAGATTGCCGTCATGAACAATGCTGTTTTGTGTTGCTGTACTTTAAAAGTGTAAGATGATACTCGAAATCTGAACTGATGACAGACTGGCCGGGTTTCGTAAATCGTAAATGGAACAGAACTTTTGAGGAGTGCTGGTGAAAGATAACATTGAAGTTTTATTTAGATATTTTCATTTTCTTTCACATATTAACCTGTTCACCACTAAAACTGCCGAAAATACCTTTTAAAGCTGGTAGAGCTATTTTCTTGTCAGTATCTGGCGACAAAGAACCAAAACCACACGAAACAGGCTCGCAGTGAGATGAGATATATTTTTGAAATGTATCACATATTTAGATCTCTGATACCAAACTCGTTTCAATTCTTGATCCCTGATCTTATGAAAATAGGTCGGTCTCTGGATTCGGCTCCGACCCGGAAACTGGGATGCATGGATAAACTGTTTTCGCACATTCAAAAATGATTTCGTGATAAAAACTGAATAAAATCTAAAATTAAAATGTATCTTGGTTTCTGTTATACTTAGTCAAAGCACTGATTCACTTGAATTAAGTTTGACTTCTTTCAGTTCTTCCAGTTACCATTAAACCTTTGAGGGCGCATGTAATAAACGTTTCTGCTCTCAACAACAAAGAAAAATCTAGTGTGTGTTTTAATAATCGATAATAAAACGGGATCTGGCTGGGTTACTCCCCATGACATAACGATAAGCAGTTTAGCAGCTCAGTTCAGTTTGTGACAGTGAAAATCTAGGGGCGAGTTTAAAATTTAGTCTTCTGAAAAGATCCTACAATGAACTATTTGTCCAGAACGTTTATGACTTTTGGCTTAGAAGTGCAAGGTCGCTAAACGAGATCAATATGAGATTTTTTTCTTCTTTGGGCAAAGTCTGACTTAAACAAAGATCTAAGCACTTAAAGAATAGTCAAGTCAGTCAGGAACGCGACTTTTTTTTTCGCCTGATTAAGTTTCAAATCAATGAGTGCCATCGAGGAGTTTACGATTTTCAATGTTCCGCTTCAATTTGCTTACACGCCTTCAGGCCTCTTCTTTACAAAGGGTTATTGTGCTAAAAGTTCTTGCGCCGCATGCAAACATGGCGGCCAAGAAAGCTGTCACATAGGTTAAAAAGTCGGAAGCTTAAACTAAGCTTTTAAGAATTAACTATTTGAACTTGCCATGTAATAAAAAAAATGTTTCTCTTAACTTTCATGACTTCTCGAACGATGACTATAAGCTTTTTAAAATGGCAAAATTCGATGACAGATGTTTCTGTTCTTACTCTTTTGTAGTCAGCTTTTTGTGACTCGGTAGGATTTTATTCTGATAGATTTCAATCATTAAAGGAAATCACCAGTTAAGAAAAACACACCTTAAAAATCTTAAACCGAGTCGTCGATGATTTCTTCGAAGCTGAATTTTGGGTTTGCTTCCACATGTTCATCTGCAATTAAAGCTAAAGCACAGTGAATTCGATAAGTGTTCATAAAATATCCATAAAAGGGTAAAGGTAATTGCAAGTTTGAAGCGCCTGGCTCGTCAAATGTGCCTTTTAATAATACTAAATCGCTAGTAAAATCATATCTGATCAAAAACTAACTATCCTCCTTCGCAACCGTTTTAGTGCCTTTACCCAATCAAGGCCCTCCACACAGCGATTGTGCGGAGGGCCTTGGATATACTTGAACGGGTGCAATGGAGACTACACTTACCGCTATCAAATGGCGGCTGGTCCGACTGGTTTGCCCTCGGTCCAGATGAAAGATAAGCAAACGAAAAAGCAATATTTTGGTACTTCTCATCTTCAGGCTTTTCCTCCAAGGGCTTCTTTAATACCGGATCCATCGCTTCGAAGCTAAATTTTGTGTTTGCTTCTTTCTTCGCTACATGTTCACCTGTAAAAGGACAGTAAATTCGAGAAGTGTTCATTAAAACATCCATAAAAGGATAAACGTATCTGCAAGTCTGAGGCACCTGGCTTGTCACATGTGCCTTTTAATTAATCGCTAGATAAATCAAATCAGATCAAGAACATCAAGGCCCTCCACAGAGCGATTGTGTGGAGGGCCTTGGGTACACCCAAACGGTTGCAATGGAGATTCACTTACCGTTATTATCAGCAGACTTGTTTGCCCTCGGTCCAGTTAAAAGACAAGCAAACGAAAAAGCAACAGCTTGGTACTTCTCATCTTCAGGCTTTCCCTCCAAGACCTTCTTCACTATAGGATCCATCGCTTCAGTTTACAACCAAAGACACTTAGATGATCGAAATTCAAGAGAAAAGGAAAGTACTGGAACTTTTTTCAAACGCCTGATGGTTGATTAACAAAACTACACGAGTTCTGATCCTCTCTATCACAATGTTTTTATATTAGTAGGAAACAAAAGAGACATTAAAAAGTTGCCTAGTCCCCAGGCCTAATTATCCCGCGCGGCCTGTGCGTTTCGGGTCACATGCCCTAGATACTTCACCGATGCTGAACATGGACAAGTTAACCTCTTAAGGGGACCCGTCAGTGACCACCCGACAACCGGGTTAAGCCTCAATTCGTTTATTTGAAGCTGAGCCCTTTCGATTTTTTAAGAGAGACATGCTTTATCCTGTCTTGACCCTTTAGTGGACAGCTCAGTTACCAGCATGGATAACGGACAGATATCTGGCGTAAATCTTAAGTTATTGATTAGGGCTTTTGATGCTCCATTGTTAAAGAAATTAAACTAGCCATCTATGAAGTCTCAGTAAGGTCATGATGCAAAGTCGACTAACCTCCTTTAATTAATGCAGGCGATTCTCAAGGTTTCATCTTTGGTCCCATATCATTTACTAGACTTTTCATCGACGGCATGCCACTGGACGTCTCGTACAGCAACTGTCGAGATTTAGGCCGGTGACACAAATTGCATGTTGACTATCGAAGAAGAAGAGACCATCCTCACCCAATGAACTAGGGCTCCTAAGCAGATAAGACGATAAGAAAAAAATGGTTTTAAACCATAGCAAGAGAAAGCTTACTAGTTTGTAGATCGGAGTTGCCAGCAGTAATTAAAACCATTGACTCCAACAATCTGGTTTTCACCAGGTCGTATGTCACAAAAGATTTGCCTGTTGGTGTTGCCACCCGGGGGTACTCCTGGGAATTCTTGGTAGGGGGTGTGTTAACCTGAGATCAGGCGTTATTTTTATTTTTTGGCTTCTTTGCTTCTTTGGCTCGAGAAGGAAAATAAATGAAATACATGAAGGAGTATCCCCTACCAGGAGCCCATCAAATTTGATGGGCTCCTGCCCCTACCCACTCCCCCGGGGTGTTGCCGCTATCCTGCCTCCATTTTGGAAAACGAGAAGACCCTGGGGACGAGGTTGTCCTGGGGGTGTCTAACCACAACATGGCGCCGAAGATTGTTCTTGTTACTGGCTGTTCCACAGGCATAGGGCTATATACAGCTCTCTTGCTAGCTAGCGACAAACAAAAGCGCTTCGTCGTCTATGCAACGCTCCGAAATCTTGCAAAAAAAGGCGAGCTTGAGGAAAAGGGCAAGGATTTTCTCGATGACACTCTCATCATAAAAGCGATGGATGTTTGCTCCGATGAGTCCGTGGACGAAGTTGTGCAAGACTTGTTGTCTACACATCAGCGGATCGATATACTCAGTAAGGTTTCTATATTCTTCGAGTTAATTTTAATGTACTATTGATAGTACACAAGATCAACCCCTCCCCGCAGATCTATGGAGAAAATCTTGAGTCCGAGAAGCTGACTGAGGGACTTGATCTTGAAACTGAAAATATTAAGAATGAAGAATGATCTCCAGATTATTTCCACTTTTCTGCTTGGAACCATAGAGACACGCATGTGCATGGAGTATATCCTCGGGGTGTGTCCGGAGGGTGGCCACCCAAACCCCCCACCCCTAAATACGTCCTTCAGACCGAATGAACCAAAATTTAACTAATCCCTCCATCCAAATCTCTTGCCATGATGATAGGGAACGTTGATGTCGCACTAGCTAGCGTTCTCAGTTCAATTAATAGCACGATCATTTTCTTGAGAACTTTGAAGCTCTTCAGAATGTTTTCAAAACTCTGGGCAATGTCATAGGATATCTTCCGACATCTTTATACAATAGGGCTGCCATTAAGGCTTTAAGGAGCTGGTCTCTGTTGGAAATTAGGCAGTCACTTATCCCACAAATCCTCCTATATTTGCCATTTTCGACTCATTTTCCAACCTAAGGTACCACCATGGACAGCTGATTTTACTGCAGTAGCTGGCTGCCAGCTACCAATGACAGCCCTGTACAAGTAGGTCATCTGTCACTGCGTGCAGATGTATTTCCTGCAAAATGTCCCTTTTTACAAGGTGCCAGGAGAGACTGCTGTATTTACAGGCTACTGTGACTCCTTTGCCCTGCTAAATCCACCTGTATCTTAAGCTGAAAAATTATGACCAAAACTATACAGAGAATTATTCCCTCCAAGGATTTTTATTTAATTTTAAAACTACTTCTAAGAGATTGCCTGTAGTAAGCGGTCCCTCCCCTTAAGAGGTGCCTGTAATAACACCCCAGGTACTAGATTACCCTCCCAATCCCAGAGGCGGGGGGGGGGAGGGGGGTACTCCCTATGATGGCCTACTGTACACGGGACATGGGCATGGGGAGACTTCACCTGAAAGGGGTACCTTTTTCAGTCTTCAGGTATATAAAAGAGTGTAAAGGGATTTCACTAGTTGAAGTTTATAAAAGGTTTGGGCAATCTGTTATTTGGGTCTGTAAAAGGGCTCAAAGGGGCTAACAGATGAATTTTGTGGCTTTAAAAAATCAAGAATATTTTTATGATTGATTCCTATTTAAAAGAGTGCATTTACAGCAGTTAAAAGGGATGCAAAGTTCTAAACAAGGTATATGAAAGGGGTACCATTTGTCATTAGAAGGTATACAAAAGGGGTACCTTATCATGAAAAATGGTACATAAAAGGGTAAGGGGTTGGACCTTGGGGCAGACCCTCCCTGTACAAACATTTGTTGAGTACCCCCTGGGCTCCCAATTTGACTTGCATATCATTAATCAAAGAGAGAATTTGATTTTAGATCAGGAGGTACTTAAGGTCATACTCACAATCACAACTTCAATAAATTACTTTCTTATGCTATTGTTAGCAGTACAAAGCTAGTGCTGATTATTGCAAGAAGCTCATGCAAGCAGTATTGATCTTGTCCTTTCTAGTTAACAATGCCGGAGTAGGCTTGCTAGGCCCCTTGGAGACTCAAACAATGGAGGTGGCAAGGAGTGTTTTTGAAACTAACTTCTTTGGAGTGTTACGGCTGACTAAAGCTGTCCTCCCATGTATGAAGTCCAAAAGAGATGGTCACATTATCTGTGTGACCAGTGTGGGAGGAATCAGTGGAGTGCCATTTAACGGTGTGTACTGTGCGTCAAAGTTTGCAGTGGAAGGACTCGTTGAGTCACTGGCCCCAATGCTGAAAACATTTAATGTGAAGTAGGTAGATTCAACCAAGTCTTTAATTTTTCAGTTACAGGTTAAAATCAGCTTCTTCTTTCATTCAAGGTAGTGGTCTTGGGTACTGCATTATATGTTTTGTTCTATTTCCAGTCTCATGATAATGTAATTTATTTATACTGAGCAGCCAAAAATCTGCCAAAATATGGAAGCAAGTGGATTAAATTTTGTTTGAATCTCCTTTATATCTTCACCTTGACAAGTGAAAGAGTTGGCTTATTAGAAAGCCTTTTAAGGGTCGAGGTTATGCAAATCAAAAAAGCCAGTTCCGAGTCCAAAAGGAAAGTGTCATTCCAGACAAAGCATTGTTTTAAATGATAACTTGCAACCTTGTTCCAGACAAAAATTGCAGACCTACATGCTTAAATTAAAAATTATAATAAGAATGTGGGTTTCACTAAAAGAAAGTTCTTAAGTTGTGTGTCAGAGCAAGTACAGCAGAACACCAAACTGAATCAACCAGGAATTCTAGGAAGAATTTCCCCTGTTTCCTATTTTATATAAAGTAAAGCAAAATAACTGAAATCTCTCTGTCAAAGCAAAAGGCTGCCAGTTTTAATAGCCCTTTTACAGTTACCAGTCACTTGACTGGCTTAATGCAGAACTTGAAAAAAACTAAAGATGGAAAGAGCATGTGAGAAAGTTACTTGGAATCCTATTTTTGAGGTGATTGGCACATAAATAATACTAAAATTTTGAGGCTAGAATGTCTGCAAAACGTTAAGGGTTTTTATGGAAAGAAATGCTGGACCACAAAGTTTGCAATCCAACACCTTTTTCTCAGCTATTGATACATGTATATGAAATATTTTCTTGATACTTTAAATCACCATAAAATGGTATTGTTGTGAGTTTAAAGCCTAAAAATTATTGCAAGATCTACTATTTTCGGGGATTTTCAGGGTTATCTCTCAATTTTGGCACATGACCCTGAGCTTCAAAGGGGGTATACCCTGCTCAAGAGTCAGAAAGGCCAAGAAGTATCTGACTCCAACGTGAAAGAGTTAGGGATGCTCATCTGAAATTTTGAATGGAGCCCCACCCCTTTTTTGATCTCTAAAAGAGACCATTTTAAACTTTGATTACTTGAATCAAGTATTAAATATAACGAATTGAAGAATTTTCAATATTTCTTCCCATGCAGCCCTAAAAGAGATCTTTACAGCTAAATATAATGGCATTTTGCCCAGAACACCCCAAATGAGACCAAAATCCAAAATTTACACCATTAAGCGAGATAATGAGCATCCCCACCCCTTTCATGTGGAAGTCCTCCCCCGCCCCCCCCTACCGGTGGATATTGTAAAGATCCAGACAAAAAATCACGTGCCCATATATCTTAGAACCAGTTTCAGGGAGACTCTATCATTATTTATCAAAATAACCCTAACTACATGTATTTTCGTTTTATTCAAATTAAAAGATGCTCTTTAATTGAGCCAGGACCAGTTGCAACCTCATTTGGGGCCAATCTGCGCAGCAATGACAAAGAAGCAGACAGCCCTCCCATAGATGATGAAACTAAGCAACTACTGGAGAATCTGACCAAGAAGATAAGCACCGCCTTTACCACAGTGGTTCAGACTCCAGATGAAGTTGCTCAAGTGATTCAAGAAGCAATCCTAGCTGAACAGCCACATTTGAGGTATCAAACAAACAAGAATTATGCAGCTGCAACAGCAGCCAAACTAACCGACCCCACTGGCGATAAACCTATAGAGCTTATGCATCAGCGCTATTTTAGTTAAATCAGAGGTTATGGGGAAAACGTGTTTGTGGCCACTGTTGATCAGCAGCGGTCTGAATACATCCCTGGGGGGTACTCAACAAAGTTTTATACAGGGAGGCTCATCCCCGAGGTCCAACCACTTACCCTTTTTATACATATCATTTTTAACAGAAAAAAGGAACCACTTTCGTAGACCTTTTATTGACAATTGGTGCCCCTTTCATATACTAGTCTAGAATGCTGCTTCCCTTTAAAACGCTGTCTGCTGTAATCCACGGCCGTCTATTAACTATGATTATTATTCATTCAAAATATTTTCCCGATTCTGATTGGCTAAAAGCACTCGTTTAATTCGCCATATCCAGTTACTGATGACCAAATTTGGAAGAATTTTGTGTTTAACGAGGAAATGACGTCAAAAATGCAGCGTTTTCGCAGGTTAAAGGAGCTGTGTCACGAAATTCAGCCAAATTAGGAAATTACAAAATGCCCTTTAAGTTAAGAGAAACAAAAATAACAGCTTAGAACTTTAAAAGAAGGATAAAATAACATAACAGAAAAACAGATGTCACGGATGGGCAAAATTGAAGAAGATTGAAACGGATTGAAATTAGGGTTTTTGAAAACTGTTCAGCCTAACAGTTTTTCAAAGTTGATCCCGGCTGCTTGCAACATCAAAAATAATGCTCAGGAGACATATTTGTTTGTCTCAGATCTCTGATTTTGTCCTTTACATGTAATTTCTTTGCTTACTTTAAGTTCCATAGCGGTAGAGGGCGAGTAATTGGCAAAATTAAACAAAATGAACTGGACTGCCGTGACACAGCCCCTTTAAGGCACCGTCGACCGAGAAGACCTGGGGACGAGGTTGAGTTGTTTTGATTGTGAACTTGAAAAATTGCGGACATTTCACTCGTTTCAAGAGTAAGAACTAGGCGAAAACATAGCTAAAAACATGGCAAGAACAGCAAGAAGACTACTCGAAGGGCGACATCTGCTATTTGGAGAATATTTGCGGAGCTGAGCTAAACGTGCACTATCGAAGATGAACTTAACATCGATGGTTCGATGGAGATTAGCATGTTTTAGCCATGTTTTTAAACTAGGAATTATTTTGAATGAATAATAAAACAATTATTGAATTCGGCTTTCGTATCATATGAAGAATTATGGCGATCTCGGAGGTTGTTATCCGCCTCGGCCTACGGTCTCGAGGGATAACACCCTCCTCGATCTCCATAATTCTTCATAAGATACTCAGCCTCATTCATTAATTGTTAAATAAATTACTGAACCAGAAGGTTTTCTTGCAGTGGCGGATCCAGGGGAGGGGGCTGGGGGCCCGCTCCCCTCCCCTTATTTTTAGACCAAACTGAGGCCTAAAAGGCCAAAACAAATTTTTTGGGAAACCGCCCCCCCCCCCCGCCCCCTTTTGTAAGGGTCTGGATGACCGGGGCCCCCGCATATCTCAAGGTCTGGATCCGGCACTGGCTTGTGTTTTTCAAAGCCATAAAATGCGCTTGTTATCCCTTTTAAATTCTTTCACAGGCCGTAATGACTGATTTCCCTACCCTTTTATATGAAACTCCTACCTATTCATTTACCTTAAGCCTGAAAGAGGTACCTCGTTTGGGCGGAGCCTACCCGTATAGGCCATTATAGGGAGTACCGCCCCCCC